TTTAGCATTCGAAAATTATGGCGAACAAGCCAATATTTTAAAGGATTTAAATTAATCAAAACAAAACAGAGATTAGAAAACAAAAATAAATAGAAAGAGAAAAATGAATGATTTTTACAAATAAAAGTGGTTTTTTTTTCTCTTTGAACAAATGTGTAACATTACAACAAAAGTATACGTCTATGCTTCAACTGTTTATATCGGCATTTTTTACATTTCGTGTCAATTTTTTTTTGTGACACTCTCCTTTCGAAATTAATATAAATATTATGATTTGCAAAATAAAATTTCTGGCTCACTAACAACGTTTAAGAAAAAAATAAAGTTGTTGGGTAAGGTAAAAAGATTATAACCACACAAACTTATTTTTTAGTGACAGTGTAACAATTTATAGGTCTCACCAATGACGCATTTCATTGGTGTAGATATATTTCATAAATATCGTGGTAAGACCATCTCCAATATATTCTTCTATTTCTCTATTTTTTATTCTAAATAAACTAAATCTAATAAAATAGAGTAGAAGCTGTCAAAAAAAAAAAAAATAGAGTAGAGAACTTTCTAATCTATCATTCTACTCTTTACTCTAAAATATTTTAGTGTAAAAAATAGAATTACTCCAGTAATGTTATCATTTAGTCTATTTTAGAGTGAGTTGTAGAATATGGTTGGAGAGAATATTACTCTATAATAGAGTTTAGAGGGAAAAAAGAGTGAGTTGGAGCTTCTCCAAATAATGGTTTTGTATAAACAAAGATATATAATATTGTCATATGATCAAACATTTACTTTAATATCTATTTTAAAAACTCTTTTTTATATACAAGGAACGTTGGAGGAATAGGTTTGATATCGTTTATGATGTCTTTATTTGTAAACAACGCATGTAATGTTGTCTTTAAATACGATAGTTGGTTTTAATTGTACTGCACAGATTCCACTAGTTGCTTAAATATGTTGAGAGACAGTGAGGTTTTACCCTTAATTAATATACACCACTGCAAACATACAACTAGGTTTGTAGTATTTAAGGATCGATTCAAGAAGAAATAATGAAACATACTAATCTATTAAGAAACGATTTAAGCTAGGATATGGGAATGATGATTTTCGGTTAAAATGTACAAATTCTAATGGTTTACTTGCATGAAGTATATAAATCAAATCTACTTAGCATGCAAAAATGAGCAAATCAAGACAATACTAACAATAATTAACTGAAGATGGCACATCCTAAAAAAAAGATGGCAAATCCGAAAAATCAATATAATAAAGGCATGAATCACAGAGTAAGCATTTCGTCGATCAAGGGAATTACCAATTAATTTAAGATTCTAGAACAAAAAATAAGCCCAATCTCAAGATAATGAGACACGAAATTAGATTATCCCACTTTTGTGTTATTAATCTTTATCCTACTCATGTAATTATACTAAGGGTTGTTTGCAACTAATAATGACATGAAACAATAGTATTAAAAGCATCTTTAATTAGTGAGAATCATGTAACTCTAACCCTAAGCATCATGAATAAATCAATAATATACACCACTATGTTCCACCTAGATGACTCACTAATACTAAGATGTATATTGGTTTTTTTATCCAAAACTTTTTAAATCGATAGGACCTTTGCAAGAACCAAATAATAAAATATAGTGCCTAAATTTAGGTCAGGAAAGGGTTAAGTTCTTTTAAATAGTTCTAGGGTTCGATCGAAAATGATCGAACTATGACAAACTGGATCGGACCCGCTCATTAAAATATAATCTGAAGACATAGCTGGTTTGAAGGTTATGGAAGCGGCCAAAGGGTTGATAGGACTATCAATCCAGGGTCGATCGCTAGGTAAAATGAAGATCGTGGCTTCTCAAAACTCATTCTTGACTGCGACCCATTCTTGTTCAATTATGCTTCTTCTTTAGTCTGATTTTGCTTCTTTTCGTGTAATACTAGTGTTGTCCCAGCCTTTTAACCAAATGGTTTCTGAACCTTTTCCCAGAGAAATTTTTTTTCCAACAGATTTTGATTCTCAAAACTCCTCTATTCATTGTCTTCCTAACTTCACTTTTCCGTCTTTGATCGGAGGTTCTCCCACATCTAAAATGGTCATAAAAAAGACCCAAAATATTTAAAAATGATCCTAAACTCTTAAATGTTTAATGACTCAATAAATCAATACATGCAACCTAAACTCCATGAAACAAAAATGTGTTGATTTACATATTTTACAAGGACTTGCAAACATGACTCAAAACATTTAATTACAAATGTAACATAGCCAAAAAATATTCTTACAAAAAGAACTATTTGCACTTCTTTTACCCATACAAAAATCATATTGACATCACATTTTGAATATTGGATTAATATTTTTATTTTTACACTATGTAAATAAACCAAAGTACTGTTAAAGGTGATTCAATAATTTTTCCTATTTTTGAGTTATTGTTGCAAGAAAAAGAATATAGATGGATCACCTTTACATTTGACTAAATGTTTTGAGTCATTTTCACTTCATAATTTATTTATTTTGTTACTTACACAAATTTTTTTTAGAAATCGAAATATTTAAGTAACTTTTATATATTTATGATAATTTTCTTTGTGTTAAGAACTTCAAATTATATTCTCAAAGCCGTCTATTGTGTGGGTCTAATCTGATATATATATATATATATATATATATATATATATATATATATATATATATATATATCTATATGTTGAAGGTTAAAGGAATAACATAATATTAGCTTTAGGTGGATTCTACAAAAAAAAAAAAAAAAAAAAACCAAAACGAAAACAGAGGAATAACAATGGCAGGGAGAATAAGCTGCTGTCTAAATCTTCCTCCCCTATATTCAAATTCTGCACAATCATTACCTTCACTTCTCAAGAAAACGTCAAAGATCTCTTGGTATGTCTCCTATTCATGAAATATCATTATTTACCTGATCATTTCACATATCAAAAAAGATTATTTTTGTTCTTTTATTGTTTAGTAGGAGAACAGAGGATGAGACAGAGCCACGGAAGAACAAGTGTTCTCTTGTCTTCGGCGTGACGGCGACTGTAATAATCGGCGCAATTCAGATCAATGATGTGGCATCAGTGGACGCGGCGGTTGTGAAATCGCCGGTAGAAGAGATGGCGGCGGGTGTGGTGCCGCCGCGGCGGTGGAGTGACAAGAGGACGTGCCCGCCTTGGCTTGGGAACTCGCTAGAGACTATCGTACCGGAGAATCTTCCCCGTCCATCGGCTCATCGACGTTTGGAGTTAGCCAGATTACCTGACGGTGATGCACCACCGGTTGGTGCGGTTGTGACACGTGTCAATAGGGCTGGTTGCTTCTCCGTGTAATTTGGAAGTTCATTTCGTGTAAGGGAGATTGTTAGGCAGGTGTAACAAAAGTCAATTAGAAACAAATAATACACACAAAAATTATTGTAAATATATTAAATTATAATGTTTGTTTGCATATAAAGTTTGATTTTGCATAAAAATAGTTACTGATGATAAAATACTTGAACAAAGCAAACTAGTTTTCACAATGCATGCAAAATGTTCTTTACTGCTTTTAGAGGATGCCATTTTTTTGTTATAAATCGTATCAAAGAAAAAATTTTAATTATTAAATTCATTGAGATCTTTATGTGCACGATTAGTTTTGGTCCGTCCTTTTTTTTTGTTTTGTAATCTTGTATCCTACCAAAATTTTGGGAGTTTTCAGTTTTGTGTGTTGGAGTAGTACTCTATTGGATGTGAGATGAAAGAAAGTAGTACATGCGTGTAGTACAAAAGAAAAAAACTACAAGTACTTTCTACTGAAATCAGTCGGCCCATTATTGATCCAGAGTGAAGCCTTAGTCTATGTCACTCCAACCATTAGTTTTATTTCGGCCTCATATTTTTCAAAGTTTTAAATACAACTCAATTTTGACCCAAAAAAAAAAAATACAACTCAATTTTTGATTTAAAAAAAAAAAACTACAACTCAATTGTTGTTTAAAAAAAAAACTACAACTCAACAAGTTTCACTTCCATCTCGGAACTTTCATCTAGTGGTTAAACTTTGAGAAATGTTAGGTGAGGTCCACTATGGATGAACTGAAAATCCGAAAAACAGAAAAATCAATTGAATCAGAATCGAAACCCGGATAGAACACCTCCATGTATATGGCTATATATACGACCATATGAGGGAGGTGTGTACTATTAGGGTTAGCCAAATTAATATAAAGAATAATGCTTTGCTTTGTTTCAGTCTCAAGTAAGCAAGTCGTTTATTTGTTAGAAATGTGTGTGTTGGAACCACGTTTGGTCCTACCCCTTGTGTAGCTATATTTGGTTTGTGCCAAGTTAAGAAAGGTATTAGTGTCAAGTAATTTCAAGTAGGCGAAGTTTGGTTGTAAATATATTATAAATGATATCTAGTGGATGTTTCGAGGATGTATGCACATTGCCGAACTTCGTTAACTTTATTGTGTGCTCATGTTCTTTGCTTTTACAAGAATGATGAGAGAATAAAAGGGAGAATGGCCGTAGCGAGAGAGAAAAGTCTTGTAACTTAAAGAGAAGAAGAAGAAGAAGAAGAAAATTGTTTTTTCATCAAGATACCTACATCAACAAGCAAATAGACACTTGATCATCTTATGCACATGCACACACACGATTTTCTGAAACTATTTTGATACTTATACAAAAATTTTATAATATTCATAATGATCTTATCTGCTTATCGTATTCATGATTTAAGTCTTGAGAGAGTTACTTGGACATTTACAAAATTGTTGTAAAAAATAATCGATACAAATGTATTTCTATTTTTACACTATTAGAAAGATAACTAGATAAGATCATTTGAATATTATATTTACTTATTAGGAAGAAGTAAAATTTAAAAGATTTGTTACACTATTTCTCTATTTATAGATTCACATACCCAATTTAAAAACAAATCTCTTGCCTATATAAATCTAAACTTAATTCATTTTCTTACAACAAAACAAGATTCAATTATCAAAAGAAATTTAAGAATGACAAATAAATATTTTTGTTTACTAGTGTTCATTCTCTTGGCTTCCGATGAAGTTGTTGCCAAGAGACACTCTTCAACACCTAAATTAAGAAAAATTGAATTCCCAGAAGATTTCATTTTCGGAGCTGCCACCTCTGCGTACCAGGTCGAAGGAGCTGCTCATGAAGATGGTAGAGGACCTACTATATGGGATACATTCTCTGAAAAATACCCAGAAAAGATAAAAGATGGTAGCAACGGATCTATTGCAGATGACTCTTACCATCTTTATAAGGAAGATGTGGGTTTATTGCATCAAATTGGGTTCAATGCCTATAGATTCTCCATCTCGTGGTCGCGGATTTTGCCTCGTGGGAATCTCAAAGGAGGAATCAACCAAGCTGGTATTGAGTATTACAACAACTTGATCAATGAGCTTTTATCCAAAGGAATTAAGCCTTTCGCCACCATTTTCCATTGGGACACACCACAAGACCTTGAAGATGCTTACGGAGGATTCCGTGGGGCTGAAATTGTGAATGATTTCCGCGATTATGCGGATATTTGTTTCAAGAATTTTGGAGATCGAGTGAAACATTGGATGACATTGAACGAGCCATTAACAGTGGTGCAACAAGGATATGTTGCTGGTGTTATGGCTCCAGGAAGGTGTTCAAAATTTACAAACCCTAATTGCACAGCCGGAAATGGAGCCACCGAGCCTTATATTGTTGGTCACAACCTCATCCTTGCTCACGGAGAAGCAGTCAAAGTCTATAGAAAAAAATATAAGGCTTCGCAAAAAGGTCAAGTCGGTATTGCTTTGAATGCAGGTTGGAACTTACCTTATACAGAATCATCTGAGGATAGGTTAGCCGCGGCACGAGCCATGGCTTTCACATTCGACTATTTCATGGAGCCGCTCGTGACCGGTAAATACCCGATTGACATGGTTAACAACGTAAAAGGCGGTCGCTTACCTACATTTACTGCAAAACAATCTAAGATGCTTAAGGGATCATATGATTTCATTGGCATCAATTATTACTCGTCTTCTTATGCAAAAGATGTTCCTTGCTCAAGCGAAAACGTTACAATGTTCTCTGATCCTTGTGCTAGCATCATAGGGGAAAGAGAAGGAGTTCCCATCGGTCCAAAGGCTGCATCAGATTGGCTTTTGATATATCCAAAGGGAATTCGTGATCTTATCCTCTATGCAAAATACAAGTTCAAAGACCCTGTCATGTACATAACCGAAAATGGGAGAGACGAGGCTAGTACTGGTAAAATCTTACTTAAAGATGGTGATAGGATCGACTACTACGCTCGACATCTCAAGATGGTTCAAGACGCTATCTCGATTGGAGCCAACGTAAAGGGATTTTTTGCATGGTCTTTGCTAGATAACTTTGAATGGGCATCGGGATACACGGTCCGGTTTGGACTTGTTTACGTAGATTTCAACGATGGACGTAAGAGATATCTTAAGAAATCGGCTCATTGGTTCAGACATTTATTGAATGAAAAGAAAAAGAATTGATGAGATATGTAGCATTCCATTATATTAACTAACTAGCTCAATACCTACGCAAACGCAACGCGTGGTTTGAAAAACAATTATTGTTGATTTACAAATACGGTTTGATTTTGTTTTACTATATCAAACTTAAATCTCAAAATAGTAGTTTCAATGTAAAACTTGTGCACAAAAAATTAAATGAAATACTTTGAATGTTAAAATATTCTTGAAGAATTTTCTTTCGTCTTCTAAAATTAATTAATTAGTTAAATTAGTTGTAATTTTTTTTTGGCATTTTAACATTCTATATTAATTTTTTTCAATTTCCGATTCCGATTATTTCAATTCTATAATTTAGAATCCATTTGAGTTTTTCAAAATTTTGTTTCGATTCCAATTCGGTTCTTTTTGCTTCGGTTTGATTTGGTTTGTTTCAGTTGGGTTATTTTGCCTAAGCCTAATTACGGACAATATTCAGGAGAGAACACAAATCCAAATGGACTTTAGCGACCGGACACATTAATACTTGAACTAAAACTATAAAATATTGCAAAGCTAATTACGGTTAAGAAGCACTTTGTGGCTATTAGATAACTAAATTAATCCAGGTTAACTATAGAGTTGACACATCTCTCTCACATGCCTCTCTAAGTTCCATTTAGGTTATCTTCTTCACTATACACTCATGATGTTCTCTTCCCAATCGCCGCCTCTGATCTCTCTTCCTCACTTCCTCAGATTAGGTAATATACATCCACTCTTTCTCACATTGTTAACATTGATAAACTAGAGAAGCTTGGATTCACATCGTTGCCATTGGTTCCGATTAATCATCTCTTTCACTAAATCATTAATTGTTTTCAATGAGAACCAACATCATCTGAATCAATGTTTATACATTTGTTGTTATGAAATCTTGAATCTTCACTGAATCCCCTGTTCATTTCTCTTTTGCAGCCTTTGTTTTGTTATATTGATTTGGCTGTTATGTCCAACGATCTCTTGCCTCAGCCTTGTATGCAAATGGGTCAATTCATTAATGTTGATACTACTCCAGACTTGATTTCTAATCAGGAATTGAGATTGTCACAACCCATCTGTAGTCAGATCTCTGGGAGGCAGGATTTTCATGTAATGGTACCTAGTGCTGTTGGCTTAGGATCAGTTAATATGGATACAAATCTGTTACCCGGTAAGCGGAAATCTCTGTTGCAGCAATCTGTGAAAAATAAACGGATGGTGCTACCTATGGAAGGTCAACCATGGGTGTCTGCTCCAATGCCAATGCAGTTATCTTCTGTTTCCCCCAGAACACAGTATTTGCCTGCATCATTTGTTAGTAAAAATAGTTCTGTTTCTTGTAATAAACCTGCGGCGAGAAAAAAGACTTTGCAGAAACCAATGCCGCTGAAACCTCAGAGTGAATCATCTGGGTCTGTTAGGTTTAAAATGAGAGAATCTTTAGCTGGTGCATTGGCAATGGTACAGTGTGATATGGAAGTTCCTAAAGAGTCGAAAAGTTTAGATAGTGAGACTGCAGCTAATCCTCTCGAAGGTTATGTTAGTGAGCCAGTGTCAGCTGCTTCTGGAGTTGATGTTATGGTATCTAATGGGAGCACAGAGATTCTGACCCTCAGTGATCCTTGTCCTGTAGGAGGTATCTCTGCTCAGACAGTGTTACCGGAGGTTTTGACTATCACCAAGACAAGTGATGCCCAAGAAATTCTTGCACAAGTTCCTGAGGCTTTAAAACCGTTTGTGCAAGACAATGTTTCATATAGTGACAATGTGTTTTCAAAAGATGATCTTTTGCAAGGGAATGACCTCTCGTGGGCTCTTGAGTCGGATATTGATTTTACTGTCAATTGTCAAAATGATATGATTGGAGCAATGGCTAATGATGGGAGCCAGGAGAAATTGTTAATGGATCCACAAGTTTTGGCATTTGAAATAGAGGCAGAACTGTTTAAGTTATTTGGTGGTGTGAATAAGAAATATAAAGAGAAAGGAAGGTCTCTCTTGTTCAATTTGAAAGACAAGAGTAATCCTAAACTCAGGGAAAAGGTTATGTATGGAGAAATTGCAGCAGAGCGATTGTGTTCCATGTCAGCAGAAGAACTTGCTTCAAAGGAACTAGCCGAGTGGCGACAAGCAAAAGCAGAAGAGATGGCTCAGATGGTTGTTCTGCAGGACACAGAGGTGGATATCAGAAGCCTGGTAAGGAAAACACACAAAGGAGAGTTCCAAGTGGAAGTTGAACCAATGGATAGTGGCTCAGTAGAGGTCTCTGTTGGAATGAGTTCGCTTGACTGGTCTCGACCAAAGAATATTAAGAAGAAAACCTCTTCCATCACTAAAACATTTGGAATCAAGAACGAATTGAAAGGCTCTGATGAGGACATTGGCCAAAGAAACGGAGTCACAATAGATGATGAGATGCAGGCTGCCACTGGATCTCTTCCTCCAATTGTCTCTCTTGATGAATTCATGTCATCCATAGATTCTGGATCTCCATCTGACTCTTCATCTTCAGATACTGAGAAAAAAACTTCTATTTCAGATAATAATGATGCAGAGGCGGTTTTAGTCTCTACATCACCCAAAGAAAGTGCTAACATTGATCTTAGTAAATCACCAGTTAAGGCTGAGGCATTGTCACCACTTAAGGCTGAGACATTGTCACCACTTAAGGCTGAGGATGGTGACATAGTATCATCAAATTTGAAATCTGAAATTACATCTGGTTTCATACCTGATGGTGAACGTGTATGGGAAGGTACGCTCCAGCTGAGTGCTTCTTCTGTGAGCTCTGTCATCGGCATTCTAAGCAGGTTTGTAATCATGCTATCATGAGTGGTAGCAAACCTATCTCAGTATTTCTATTCAGTCTACATTGCAAATTTGGGTTTGCATATTTCAATTTCTTTATGCTGCTGATTGGTCAAAGACCCTTAACATGTTATTTATATCATTCTAGTGTTTTTCAGCTGTATAAGATGTTTTTAAATGAATATGACTTAGCTAATTACAAGCTTCTCTGAAATTATAAGCTTTTCATTGGTTTTATGCCATCCATAGAGATCTATTCGCATTGTTCCACAATTGATACCATGTTTACTCCTGATTTTTACGCTTGACAGTGGCGAAAAGACTACTACAAAAGAGTGGCCTATGTTGCTTGAGATTAAGGGTAGAGTCAGATTAGATGCATTTGAGAAGTTTGTTCGAGAGCTCCCAAACTCCAGGAGTCGTGCTGTAATGGTATTATTTAACACGTTTACCTTATATCCTGACTCTTCTCGTTTTTGTGCACATTCATGAAAAACTATCTGCTTGGTAGAAATAGAAGTCCTTGTTGTGTCTGATAATTGTTAAGACTTTACACATTCTGTGTTTTGACCTCGTTTATCCATCATGGGTACTTAATACTTATAAACCTTCATTTTGTGTTACAGGTAATGCCTTTCATCTGCAGAGAAGAGTGCTCAAAGACTGAACAGGAGATCATTTCCGAGGTATGAGCGTTCGTAGTTAATACAAATAAACAAATCTGAACCAAAGAGAAAGAAAGTAATCGATCAAAAACTTGATATATTTGAAAATTTTACAAATATTTGATTCAAAATCTGAATTTGAACCGAAACTGAACCTGTACGAACTGATAGGTTTTAATTTGGTTCTTATTGTTCACAAACTAAGGTTATGTAGATGTCTGGATTGGTAACAAATTTGGGAAATGTGGTTTTGTTCTAACACAGGTGGTGGATTCGTACGCTAAAGATGAGAGAGTGGGCTACGCAGAACCGGCTTCAGGAGTTGAGCTTTACCTATGCCCAACCCGAGGCAGAACCGCGGAGATTCTAAACAAGATTGTTCCAAGAAACCAACTCGATTTCTTGAAATCTTTAAATGATGATGGTCTTATAGGTGTTGTTGTATGGAGAAGACCACAATTTAAAAAGCCACCACTATCTAACAACTCTCACAAGAACCACCGCCAAAATGGTTCATCACTTAATACATCTCGTTACAGTAACATGCTACAGGTCCACCATGATGATGGTGATGATGTGCCACCGGGGTTTGGTCCAATGACCATGGCTCGGGATGATGATGATGATGACTTGCCTGAATTTAACTATTTTTCCCGTGGAGATGTTGTCATGAACCGTACGAGCCGGTCTGTATCTGTAAGAGAGCTAATTCAAAAATATGGAAAATCTGAACCTTTGTGGAACCAAAGTTATAATGATAATGACAATGATATACTACCAGAGTGGCAGCCTCAACCGAACCAGTCTCTTGGGGTTAATCATGTAAATGGTGGCTCAATGGTTAGACCACATAGTGAGTGGTGGCCTCATCAAGATGGTGGAGGAAGATTTTAATTTCCTTTTGTTTCATCTTAGCAATTTTGTTTTTGTTGTTCTGTCTCTATAGTTTGCAATATGCATTAACATAAATGCTTTTCAAAATTTTGTGATTTTATTTTCCTCTCAAAGTAATTGAATTTTGCATTGTTAATGAGATGGGCCTGTATGGCCCGCTAATCTATTGCTCTTTTGCAGTGTAGTGTTGTGTATTTTCTTTGACCACTATCAAATAGTATCATTAGTCTCTAACAAAGAATAAGTGAAAAAAGAATTTACAATGAACATGTAACTTAGCGTTATCACTTATCATCATACATGTGATTAACAAAAAGATGAACATGTTTGACTTGTTTCTTTCAATTTGGTAAGCCAACAACGTTCTTAGTTCACTACCTTAACTTCAAAAGTTCAAAGTTGCTTCTTTTGTCTGAAACGAAATTTGGTTTTAAGTCAGTGTTGTGTTGGAAGCCAAATAAATATCAAACTTGTAATGAAACTAAGAATGTGAACGTCAAGTGAATTTCATTAAATCAAACTGCATTACATGTTTGCCAATAAAAAACAGTATCAAGATCGATACATAAACTATGAAAAAACTTAAGCTCTAATTAGTAATCTCTAAGACAAAGATTAACTAAATAAAGTCTAAAACCCTAATTAGACTTCCAGACACAATTTAACAAAATCATTAAGACCACAAAACTTATTTTGAAACCCTAATTAGACTCTGCCTTCACTCTGGTTGTTCATTAACAAGTTTACGACAGAGAGGGCATGAGTCATTATTAAGTCGAGTCATCCACTCGGTGACACATTCTTCATGAAACAAATGCGAACAATGAGGCATCTGACAATAATCCTCCGATCTTGACAGATTCTCCAAACAGATAGCACATGTCTTGGATTCTTCTTCGTCGTCCTCTTGGTATACGTTGTCGACGGAGCAGAGTTACAAGGCACAAAGATGTATACCTTCTGTGTCAATTTGACAGAGACTATCATGAATAAACTTTGACTTCTTTGTTGTTGGGCCTTGACTACAATCTGATCAGCTATGTGTTTGGACAAGACATGATCGTGGAGTTGGTTATGGAGAAGTTGATAGACGTAGTCTGGTTAGAAGTTTTGGAATTTCAGATAGATTAGTGGGTTGGGATGAGAAGAAAACCCATTTTTCCTGTTGTTCTCGGTTTATGATGGTTTAATTATTGATTAAATCTCGCATTGCAGCTCCAGCTCCCATGATTTATCATAGAAAATTCTTCATGTGAAACAGAAAAATAGACATGGGAACACTAACAAATAGACAACCATATCTCTTCCATGAGTTCCATATATATCTTTTGATAGAGTCATTGTAATCTTATAAGAAGAACAAAATAATAAAGGATGCTTATCGGTTTTTACACCTTTAAACCAAAATAAAACCACAAAAATCAAAACTTGATTTGGTTCGGAATAAATGAATGCCCTAGGCCTCCGAACTAGAGTCTCTCCAATGATTTGTATTCTCCGTCTCGGTCGATCAGCAAATACGATCATGGCTTCCATCCCGATAGATCTCATTCTTGATATACTCTCAAGATTGCCCGCAAAGTCAATCACGAGGTTTCTATGCGTGTCGAAGCTATGGGGATCCATGCTTCGCCGTCCATATTTCACGGAGCTGTTCTTGACCAGGTCATTGGCTCGTCCACGTTTCTTATTCGCCGTCGTAAGAGACGGTGAGTGGAGCTTCTTCTCGTCTCCTCAGCCTCATAATCCAAATGGGAAGTCGTCTCTTGTAGTTGGCGCCAGTTTTCATATGAAGTTATCTAAAGGCATAAGTCATTACATTCGTAGCTATGCTTCTGGTTTGATCTATTTCCCTCATATGTTTATCTCAAAGGAGGATGACTATGCAGCGCGTGTGATATGTAACCCTAACACGGGACAATATGCGATCTTACCTACAATGATCACGTACAAAACATCGGAAAATTATTTAGGATTTGATCCGATTGACAAGCAATTCAAGGTATTGTTGATGAGTTATCCTCCATTTGATGATCATCATCATATTTTGACACTAGGAACTGGAAAAATGAGGTGGAGGAAGATCCAATGTCCTTTAACCCATTATCCCTCTAATGAAGAAATATGCTTCAATGGTGTTATTTTTTACTTAGCTTAAAAATTTGGTGATGAAGGGTCTTATGTGATAGTTTGCTTTGATGTTAGGTATGAGAAATTCATGTTTATAGACGCAAAACACTTTGGTGATTCATCATATACTAAATTGTTAAACTATAAGGGTAAACTAGGGGAAAATCCGGGCTACGCCCGGAAAATATATTCGACAATTGACATTTTCTAAATCAGTTAATTCAGGTTTAAATTCATGTTTAGTTTTTAGTATATAAATTCTAAAAAAACATCATATGATATTATATATAACATTTTAATTAAAGTAACCTATATGGTACTATTAATGTTTAGTTATATTTATCTATGATTATTTCATTTTAATTTATATTTTTAGTCGTCTCTAATTGTTTTTTGTTAACCATCTCTATTAGTTTAATTCTTTTTATACTTTATTTTCTATTTTTATAAAGTATTCCTTTCCAAATTTTGTAGTGCTCTCTAATTCTCTATGACTTTGTTTCATTATTTTTCTTCTACTTTGACGTTTTCTAAAAAAAATTTGTGCTTAAACATATCTAATGTCAGATATCATATTAGGATTTATAAAACATAAAGTTATAGTATGAAAACGAAAAATATTCAACGTGCCTACGCATAGCACATATTTTAATTTCTAAAACATTAGTTTTCAAAATATTAGTCTAAACGTTAATAACAATAATTTTTTTTAAAAAAACACTTCTTTTCCATGTGATCATTAATAGAGTAAAGCTTTATCTTAACAAAATCACCTTTTTTGGTTATCTGGAATTTAAATTATTTTGAACTTTTTGTTAAAAAAAAAGTTACTAATTCAGCCCATTAATAGTGTTTGTGGTGTCGTGAAATTTTATTGTCTCAAACTGTAATTAGTGAAAATATTATGGACCAAATGGTAGAAAAAAAATGATTCAAAACTAAAAATATGATGAAGTGGCTTAGTTTTATGTAGTTTTTAATTTTTGATGATGTGGCATCTTGATAGTGATTTTTGAAAAAAACTGATGTGGATGGCTTGAGAAGCTTCAATTAGCATCTTTTATTAGTAATAGATTAGGTGTGGTTAGTATAAAGTATGCTAATGATGGTGGATTTCCCCTTGAGTTATGTATGTGGGTTCTAGAAGATGTCGAGAAACATGAATGGTCGATATATGTCTACACTTTGCGGGCTAACAATAAAGTCGTTAAGGTTAACAAAAATCTTTCCGTTGTTGGGATGACTGCTACAGGTGAAATTGTTTTGTCGAAGACGAAATATTTCACTAACACTATTAAACCGTTTTATGTTTTGTACTTCAATCCTGAGAAGAACACTCTACTAAGTGTTGAAATCCAAGGTTTTGGAGAACTCCATGGATGGTTTAAAGATCGTAGAGTTTACGCTTTTGTAGACCATGTTGAGGATCTTACGTTTAACACTATGAAGACAACCTGTGCTGCAAAATCTTTAAGCCCACCAGAACAGAAGCGTAAACCCACGAGCACGTCATCAACATCTACAAATAATCATCAAGTGAGGACCGTTGCTAACCTGCAACAAGATCGGCGTACATTTGAGAGCGTTAACAAATTTGATACTCTGTGTCTTTTAGATGATGATTGTTCTACCGATGTCAAAACCTGATTGGTTCCCAAGTCAGCTAAAGCTCTATTTGATACAAGTTGTATTCAGTATTCTCTGTAAGGTATCAATTGTTCTTAAGAAACAAAGTATTTTTATTCAAGTCAGAGCCATGGCTAAAGTTATCTTCATAATAATCTCTCTATATATTTTGCTTGTGAATGTGACACCTCATTTACTGGTTTCGTTTGAGCTTTATCATCAGTTCATCACTATGTTGGCTTTACCATTTTGTTTTCTTCTCGTTAAATATCATGTTCATGTCCTAATTGGGTTACACTTTACTTGGGAGCAAACTAATGTTTTATCAAAACTTATAAATTAATAAAGTCTTTATTAAAGAAAACTAATGTTTTTTTTATCAAAGGTCTTGTAAAGACCTCTAAAGTGTTCTTGTTTACTCAGACTTAAGCCAGTAAAAGTGTGTAAACACCAAATCAAAATAAATAAAAAAACAACTGGTGGTGGTCTAATGGTTTCCACTTGAAGATGAATTGCCCGTTGGCTAGGCCAGGGATCGACTCCCCGTGCTTCTGCAATTTCTCGTATGATCGTATTCCTCTCTCACGCACCTCCTCACCCGCATCTTTCCATTCTGATCCCATAAGAAAAACTATTAAAAATCGATAATTTCTATCGAAAGCCGAATCATTTTGAGTAGAAAAAAACGTTTTGAAAATACCAAATGGGAAGAACGTGTGTCACTGGATAATGCAGCTCCTATAGCTTCTTCACTGGCCTTCCTAAAATCTATTCTCAAGCTCTCTGCCCGGTTAAGTTTCCCCCGTCCCACTCCCAACATGCAATTATTCCTTACCCACAACACAAAGACACTCTTTCTCTTTTTTAAGACACTCTCAGCTCGTTAAGATGAGGGATGGAGATGATCTAAAGGAACAGAGAGCTTCATGAGACAAGGTGAGTCGTCGGCTTCTCCGGTGACGATCCGAGAGAGTGAGAGAGAGAGATAGAAAGAGAGAGCTTGGTGAGTGATGGAGTGGGTTTCTATGGGTTCTCTTCTCTTCTCTTGTCCCTTTTCTCCTCTTCATTGTTAAACCGGTTACGTGTAATCAGTGGGTGTGAGAGATCTCAATATAAAACCAAATTAGAGGTGTTCACGGTTGTGACCGTGAACTGGGTTACCAACGTGGTGTTATTGTTTCGTGAATCTAAGTGAGGGACAAGAGTGAAATAAGGGATTCAAATTCATTACAAATGGTATCAGAGCCATATTTATAATCGACAAATTCCAACAACGGAAAGTATCATCTGCATCCATCAAAAACCAGAGTGGCATAACCATCATTCATCTTTTAGTGGGATTATATTGCCACCAGTCGCAATGTTGCATACGTAAAAACAGGTCATGAGGGCACTGCAATTCAGATATGAAGAAAAGATAAATAACATAGCCAATGTTCCGCAGAAGGAAATGAGAAAAGAGGAAGATTTTTACCTGATCAAAGCAACCAAACCAGCCAGCCTAATCTTTCCAGTCATAAAGTAACGCTGTCCTATGAAGTAATGATGTCCCATGACTAGTGTGAGAGCAGCTGCGACGACTGTATCAAAAAGAAACATTCAGATGAGTTTCAGTCACCGAAGATTCTTAAATAGGAGAATGCAAATCTATTTTTCTGAGCTTGTTTTTCTTTGAGGTTGGTGCTGAGTCAATCAATGGCAAGAACAGTAATTAAAAGCAGGAATCTACTCAACTACAACAACTTAACAACTCAAGTAAGACAGCAGCCTTCAATTATTAACCTTATTGTTGTAACGAATTTCAAGACATGAGCACTAAACACAACAAAAAGACTCGCACACACCAATTCAAATTCTGCTACAATTGAAGATCCAAACACAACAAAAATGTTGACCACCAAAACTACCATATGATTAAATTAAAAGGCATTTCCCTTAAATATCATGATCTTATAATACATCGTATTTGACTTATAACCGGACCCAATAAGCCCATCAGGGTTATTCATTATGTATTATATCCCGATGTACTTCTATATATTCCCTAGAGGATCAATAAGATAATTAGTTCCACAACACGTTATCAGCACTTTTTGCTCTGGAAAAACATTTTTTCGAAAACCCTAGACCTAGCATCAACCGCAGCCGCCGCCGTTCTTCATCTCAACCGCCGCCGTCGCCGTTGGTGATCTAAGCCGCCGATCTCCTCCGGCCATCTCTCTTCTCTGATCTGAGATTCGTTCAACCCTCTCTTAGTCTTTTATTTTCTGTTAGAATTTCTACTAGATTTGCTCCTTCTATTAAGTCCTTGTTAGTTTGATGCCAAACTTTGATCCATTCGAGCTTGCTTACGATCGTTTATAAGCTTAGTTTGTTATCTTAATTTCACTGTCTGTCTCTCCTCCTTAGAGCTTTATCTCCAGAGAATATTTGTATTCTGCTGGCTTTCAACTCCAAGAACTTGTAATAGGCTTGACTGTTTACTAGTTGTATTGGCTCCATAATATATAAAGAACACTATTGAGAAAAAAAAAAAGACAAGTGAGGGAGAGCAGACAACTCACTTGTAAAAACAAGTTTCTCCACATGATATTTGTGATGAGAGGTTCTCTGAAAACAAGAGATAGATACGATCGTTATGTGAAGGGAAAGAGAAATTGCGATTACTCAACTTAACACATGCTCAAGTCTAACAAAGTCGTACCTTCTGCGAACAGGAGCTCGATCCACTAAGTGATCGGTTGGTGGTTCTGTCGCTAGTGTCCATTATAATAAGACATTCAAATAAAAACACAGAAAGAAGATATAGCTAATTCTGGAGAGACATCAGTAGAAACAAGATTTAGGTCTAACCAGCAAGCAGAAACATAAATTCAAGATTTAGATTAACATCAATACAAGTAGAGTTCAATACAATACATTAATACTAAAGTTCATCAACAGCTACGCAAAAACAAAAAAAAAACATGATTACTTAGCCTACAATAACATTAAACTCAGTGAGCAGACGGCTAGGCAAAACAATGCGACGAGCATCAGCCTGATCAAGATTATCTCGAAGCACATAAACAAGCATCGCATCTAAGGAAACTCTCAAAAAACCCTGTATTCTGCATGGAAGCTTCACTATGGCAACCCACTCCCTCAAATAGATGGTAACTTCATATACCATCACATCTTCTAATCCTATGTAGTCAGAGTACTCGGGGATAGGCCCACGGTAAACCCTATCAACCTACAGAGAAATAAAAGCAGTGAGATAGTCTGAGCTCAAAACACAAAATTAATTTGACTAATCAACTTACATGTTGGTAGGAGTTGAAGAGATGCAGCTTAGCTGCCACGGGTTGTTTATTTAAGAAGCTCAATGCCTCCTGAAGAGTCAACGACTGTAGCTTTCCCATCACGTTAAAATAGGAAATATCTACTGGTGGATCGTCATCTCTCTGATATCCCAGATATTCCCAATCATCTTCGCGTGGAATTTTGTTGTTCAAAGCATACTCTATGGCTTCTGCTATAGTGCTGATGTTGTCACAAATACGTCTCCTTTTGCTGCTTCCCACGTCTTTTGACACTACTTTCTTGCCAGGCACACAATCGAGCAGATACTGAGCTGAACAATTAACAAAAGGCGGCACATTTTCTCTAAGAAAATGTGCAATACTTAGCAGCTTAGCTGCTATGATTGCCCATCCTGTATCTGCAAAGAAAAACAAATGTCAAAGAGCAGGATAAAGAGTCAATGCACGAGGAAACAAATTCGGGAAAAAAAACTAACTGTTGTTTAGGTCATAGCGCAAATGCTGAAAATCTGGTGGGCAATGCCTATTTATCCTTTTTTGCTGTAATTTAAATCAGATGAAAACACAAAACAAACAAAAAACACATGTCAAGTGTGCCGATAAATGATAAATAGTACCTCTTTTTGTTTCCAAAGAGCAGAAGCTGTCGTTTCGGTCATGAATGCAACTACATCAGAGGGATCTGGGCGGGAACGTAGTATCGGCACTAAGATGCGCCTCACATCTTTTGGAAGATCTTCGAGATACTTGTAAGCATCCTCAGATATTTGAGGGATAGTGATTGGAATGAGTGCATCCTGCACAATTGTATTCACTCAAAATCAGGCTGAACATAATAATCCAACGAATCATATTATATACATAGAATAGAAATATCTTAGTTACCTTAGATACTTTGCCCCCAAAATATAGCAACACCATGAATTTCTTTAGAAGGTGCACCTGCAAAGTGACAAAGCGGAATTAAAACCTCAGTGACAAACCCACATAACAATTTATTACGAGAAAGGAATTGCAAGACAAACAAATCGAAACTTTTGAAATATAAGTTTGGGTCGAACCAAAAAAAATTGGGAAGAGATGTCAAAGCTCGATTAAAATATAAGTTTAGCAAAGTCATCCCATGTTTAGCAAGTAGACAAACACATATAAGTTTGTTGTTTTCTATAACACATAACACAAAGTGACAAAACTAGATTTTGTAGTAGACGAAGTGACGAACACAGATTTGTTCTCGGTGTTTTTTTTGAAAAATAGCAAGAGGAGACAGAGTTATAGGGAGTTTCAGATCTGAACGGAGTTTCGCCAGACATCTTACACACCGAAACAAGAGATCTTCAAGAACAAATCGAACGATAGCGAGCCAAACACTACTTCTAGAACTGAACAGAGGACGCGAAGAACGAAAGCAACGGAGCAAACTTCGCAACAACCCGTAAACAGACCACAGCCTTCAGAAGCAAACAAGAATTCTGGGAAAGACTGAAGAAACACCAATAACTGATTGCACAAACCCTAGCCGCCTTGAAGATTACAGCGAGAAAAGGTTAAAATGATAGAAAACGCTGAGTTTTAGACTAAGGGATAAGGTTTAATCCAGCCACAAGTTCTCTTTCCTACAAAGTGAAAGACTCTATCAGGAAAAGAAGGTTCTAAGCCCAAATAAGGGAAAACTTATTTTCTGGCCCTGCCGCATTACTCGATCTATGATGATGTATATTTAGTGAATATAATTTAAATTTTATAAATTATAAATTTATTAATGTTAAGCAATTACTATTAGAAAGCACAAGCAATACTAACCACAAGCAATAACTTTTCTGTGGAATTTTTAAAAACAAAATCACCATCTTTTAAAAACAATATTTGAACCAATTACCACAAGGACCAGACACAAACATCAGAAAACTTTTACTAACTAACCTGTTAGTTTGGAGAATGGCGATTGTTGCTTGGTTGCTTGGCCTCTTCCTTCTTGCTTGATTCACCTAACCTAGAAAGAACTCATAAACAAAACAAAATCAAATGAAGTGTTAGAATAAGGAATAAACTGAGAAACAATGCATAAATTAAACAATGGAGTATGAACTATGAATCACAAGAACAATAACAGACTCAGTAACAATGCAGCAATTAAGCCTAATACAAATTGACCTATCTAATCACATCACAATGCATAAGATGAACAAGACCAGCCTCAGAAACAATGCACAATTGCAACAAATCGATCAATGAACTATGCAATCACAACTAACAAGAACACACTCAGAAACAATGCAATTAACTTGTATGGTTTGAACAATAACCAATCAGCTCTTTAATTCAAGAACTAGCAAGAACAAAGTCAGACACAAAAGGCCTCATACTCGATTAAAATACAAGGCGATTGACATTCTTACTACAAGGAGTTTGACTTAATAGCAATTGAATACACAAGAACAAGGCGATTGTTGCCAAGAATTTAAAGCAGAGAGAATTTACCTTTAGGGTTTCGGCGAATCTGAGCCAAAATTAGGGTTTCTCTTGCTTCAACTCCTCGACAGAAAACCAACCGAAAGAGTAGCTACGCTGTCGCCTTCTTCTGATTTTCCGCCGTCGTAACCGGAGACAACACCGGAATTGCTTGAATCGGAGAAATCGCAAAATCGCCTAGAGCGGCTACCGAGGAAGAGAAAGCGAAAGTGTTTCGCGTGAGACCAAAATGTTTTGACCCTTCCCCAGTGAGTTCCCTACATAAAATCACAAAACCAATAACCACACGCCACGTGGAAGTAAGGGGCGTCTCTTGCCTCAACATATGCACCTTTTTATTATCTTATTAGTTAAAATGATTGTACTGTTTTATAGAAATCGCCTTTTTGTTGACATGGAAATCGTTTTCAAATCCATGTGAATGTTGTCGAGTATTTTGGGTAAACAAATCGTAAGTATGTTAAGTTTTTTTTTTAAGGAAAAAAAAAAATTGAACTACATATTGACTTTAATTAACTGAAAAACTAAACAATTTTTTTTCATAAATTAATAGCATTAACTTTTTAAAAGATTTTCATTTCAAGTATTTTAACGAATTCTGTCTCTTTTTTATTTTTTAATGGCCGACTTATCCAAAGTTTAGAAAGATGATTTTCTCACGGAACAAAATGTCGCAAAGAAAGTTCTAGCTAGCAACATCATAGTGATTGATCAACAACCAGCCTTAAAAAGAGCCAATAGTACATGAATTTTTTAAATAAAAGGTATTGACACATTCAAATATTCAATAAACTTAACAATCGTTAGACAATAAAGTGAATGGAGAGATTAAAGAGACGTGTAAAATGAAATTATTAGATGTGTCATTGTTAGAGACATTTTCACATCTCCGTCTAAAACTCCTAGTTCACTATCTTTTCCTTAGACATGTCAAAATCCAATATTAATTTTGAATGGATCTTATCTTCATTTTATGAAGAGATTTGACTTTTTTCTTCCTTTCTCAATTCTCTTTTACTTCACTTTTGTGTCCTATAAGAAAACGTTTGCCGACCAATAGACTAATGATGATGAATATTAATGGGTCTTGAATCCATTGGTATATATTGTGTAAAGTCACTAACCTTTATGTTTGTGGGGAAAACTGAAATCTCTCTCTCTCTCCATTTAGTTTGGATGCGCTCTAGATGGACTAAGCTATTGGACCCAATGCTCCACTCTATATTGCCTTTATAGAAATCTTATCCAAAAAATGTTGTGACATGCTTTTTTCTGATTGTATTTCAACTAATCAATCTTAAAAAGGAATTTACAATTTACAATGTCTATAAAACAAAGCGTTGCATGTGTAAGTTATTAGAAAGAAAAAAGTTATATATATGTTATTATATATTCTAAGAAGAAGAGGGAATATTCCAATGTTCATAGAAAAAAAAATATCAAAGTCGTCTCTCTTGCCCACGTCTCTTCTCTAAGTTTGTGGACACTGTCTCAAGTATCCACATCTGTTACACTCATCATTTTTGGGCATTAATGCGGCCCTCAAAGTATGAGTCACAATCTGCACCATCACATTATTATCATACTTTTTTCTCATTCGTTGTTTACACATAATATGACCAAAGCTTACGTTTTGTTTTACTCTTGTTCGGTAATTATTAAGTTATTAAACAAAATTTGATCTCCATATGAGAAAGTTGGTTCGGATACGTATGAAATGAAGAACTCACTGTAGCATAAAGAGGGTTTCACTCTCATTGTCTCAAGTTAAAGCGGAGCCGTGAGGGGCCGGAGCTGAAATTTTTGGGGCTTGAAACAAAATAAAAAATGGGGGCCAATATAATATATCAAAAAGAAAAAATTCATAAAAAAGTTTTAAATAAAAAAAAATGTTAAACCACTAATAAAACATATAAGTTTTCTCCAAAAATTAACTAATCATAATCTACGTCTTTTTAAAAATATCTCTTCTTGCATTTTGTGGGGCAAAGTCATTCATCAAACTTTAACTATGAAATTAGTTACCTGACATGGTTTATGGCTAGGATTTTGATATAAAACAGAACCAATTGAGATGAACTTGTGTTTGAGATTGTGAAGTGAAGAACAGAAGAATAGAACTTAAGAGTCGAGAAGAAGGAAGCGTCAGGAAGCTTAAGCGACTAACGAAGGCTTTTTTTTTTAATTTGTTTTTGTTTTATTGATTTTAATTTCTAATTATTTGGACATTTTATTGGGCTTTTTTTTTAATAATCACGTTTTTAAATTTGGGCCAAATAAAAAAACAAAATTTTTTTTGTCATCTTATTAACATTTTTTTGTCTTTACATTATGTATATATTTTTAAAAAAAAATATTTGGGGCCTTTAAAAAATGGGGCCCTAGGCGAATGTTTCATCTGGCTATGCCCATATCCGGCCCTGCGTGAGGGTTCAAACAAAAGATAAGAACCAAAAAAAAAAGTCATGTGCCCGACTTTGTTCTGATCAGGAAGTACAGTCGAGGTAGGAGACAAGATTCCAGGTCTGAAATGTGCCATCTCGTAGAGAAATTAATGACCACTAGGAAGAGAGGAGATAAGCTAAGAAGTCACGACTTAGCTTTGTTTGGTCTATAGGATAAGTTAATAAGTTGGATGTAGTCGATACATCTTCAATATAGAAACTATATATATTTAGGTGACACTAGTGTCTTGATATACGGCTTTCATTCTTGAAAATGATATAAGAAAATAAAATTGCATAGAGTGGTGATATTAGATATTAAAAGTTATACATCTAATGATCTTAATGTAGATAAAATGACCTAAACATCTTCATTGCCTTTTGTCTCCTCTGCTTTGCTCTCTTCGGCAACCAATGAATTCGACTCAACACAACTTCCTTCAACAACAGCGACATCGGATTCACCGTCAAGCTTGTCTGGTGGGTTCTCGGCATTTTCTTTGTCTGTCTTGGGGATGGATGAAAGGCATTTTGTACCTTCGCCAACCACAGTTTCTGAGTGAACGTGCATATCTCCCACTGCATCTGGGGATGGCGGTAATTGAACTTGAGGTTGTGACGAACATCCGGTAGAGACATCAACTGACTCACATTCGGCAGTTTCAACTTGATCTTGATCCTCAATGTTCGTTTGTACATCAGCTAACATGCTCTCGGCATTTTCTTCCTTCGTCATTGGGAGAGATGAAGCGAATTCTGAACCTTCAGCAACCATGGTTTCAGATTTCTTTGCTGCCTCTAAGTGAACGTGCATACCTTCCTCTGGCTCAGCGGATGACGGTAATTGAACTTGAGGTTCTGACGAACATGCTGTAGAGACATCAACCAACTCACATCCAGCAGTTTCAGCTTGATCTTGATCCTCAATGTTCTTATGCACAGCTGTAAGAGACGATGAGGGCTCGATATCACCTAATTGGCTCTCAGCAAACACGGTTTCAGATTTCTTTGTTGCCTCTAAATGAATGTGCATAGCTTCCACTGGCTCTACGGATGGCGGTAATTGAACTTGAGGTTGTGACGAACATGCTGTAGAGTTATCAACCAATTCACATCCAGCAGTTTCAGCTTGATCTTGATCCTCAGTGTTCTTATGCACAGCTGTAAGAGTCGATGAGGGCTCGATATCAGCATTTTCTTCCTCAGTCATTGGGAGGGATGAAGGGAGTTCTGTACCTTCAGCAACCATGGTTTCAGATTTCTTTGTTTCCTCTAAGTGGACGTGCATATCTCCCTCTGACTCTGCGGATGGCAGTAACTGAACTTGAGGTTCTGAAGAACATCCGGTAGAGATATCAACTAACTCACATCCAGCAGTTTTAACTTGATCTTGATCTTGACCCTCAATGTTCTTTTCCGCAACTGTAGGAGAAGATGAGGGCTCTATATCAGCTAATTGGCTCTCAGTAACCACAGATTCAAATTTTTTTTGTTTCCTCTAAGTCAACGTCCATATCTCCCGCTGGCTCGGAGGATGGGGGTAATTGAACTTGAAGTTCTGACAAACATCCGGTAGAGACATCAACTAACTCACATCCAGCAGTTTTAACTTGATCTTGATCTTGATCTTGACCCTCAATGTTCTTTTCCGCAACTGTAGGAGAAGATGAGGGATCTTGACCATCATATAAACCATTTTCTTCACTGTCTTTTATCTTCTCAAAAGGGTTATGGCTAATGGAATCATCATTGGGCATATTGGGTTGAAGAGTTTTCTCTTTCTCCTCGCTCGCAACTGAACAACCCACTAGAAGTGCACCATCATCGGTATCCTCCATCTGTGTGTCAGCTGTACCAACTTTAGGCATATCAACACCTTGAACCGGAACAGATTCTTCAGGATCTTGTTCTGTATCAGCAGATTTAGAGTTCTCATTGCTTGTAACTAAAACCAATGCCTGCATGTCAATGCTGCTGTGACCCTTTTGTCCAACATTTGGCAAATCATCAGTCTCCAGCATAGACGGTTTAATTTCAACAGAGCTTTTTGCCTCATCTTCTTTCGCTTTCTGATTTGCAATATCAAAAGATTCTCCATCCACATGTGGAACTTCATCGTTTCTACTGGTTTGAAGTACCTCTGAATTTGTCTCAATCTCGGAGTTTGCATTAGTCTGTTCTTTAACTTTAAAAGACATATTTCTTTCCAACTTGTCAGTAGGTAGAGGTTCTGCAGTTGTCGATGCAGATGCAATAGGCTCAGAACTCAATGAAGATGCTTTTTCTTCTGCCAGGTATACACCCACGTCGCATGTTTCACCACGCCTATTATTTGTGGTTTCACCTTCTTGCAACAGTTTTTCTTCCACAAGCTGATCTGCAGTGCACTTTTCCAATGGCGATTTAGCAGCAAAAGCATTTCCCAAAGAGAGTTGTATCACAGAAGAATCTACTTCAACACCAGGAATCTTGACATGGTCATTCTCGGCAGCAACCTTAGACGACCCAATGTCACCATCTTTGTTTGCAACTGATTTTGAAGTTTTGAGATCACCAGGAACAGGGTGAGGAACATCTGAAACTGGTTTTTCTGCCTTGTTCAGGTTATATGGAGCTTCTTGATTCTTAAGACTGGAAGAATCCTCTACCATTCGTTTGGCAGATTGGATTTCATTCTCTACCTTGTGGGTCTCAACTGTTTGCAAATTCATCTCAGCTGAAGATTGTGCGTCAGGCACATTTGTTCTCGTTGTTGCAGAAGGCTCTCCAACTTTATGTTTTAATAGGGAAGTCTCTGAAAAGATCTCTTTCATGACACGAGCAACATCAGTTACATCAGCAGTTTGTTTCCTTGCAGAACCACCAGTACCAGAGGTGTCTCTTCTACATTCCTGACTTAAACTGCCAGAAGAGTGAATATCGAGTGCAACTAACTGATTGAAGTGGGGTTGTTCTTTGGCAACAGCATCATACTTATTTCCAACCGACATAGTTTTGGTGCCTGATGAATTACCAGCCTTAACCTCTATTTGTGGTGTTAATCCTGTACTCCTTGCAGAAGAGGCATCAGTAGCAGGTAAAGCTTGACCACGCCTTTTTCCTTGGCGTCTAGAAGTTTTCTCCTCTGCACGGCTGTAGGAAGAGAAGGAGCATTGGCTTCTTGAGCTGCAAAGATGACATGTACAACACAGAAAAGATTTAGAGATCGGAGCAGATTTTAAGAAAGTTACAAACTTACAATGCTTCATAGATTTATACCTTCAACCGTAGAACCGACAGATTGAGAACTCACTGGCAGAGTAGCATTAGAAGGTGCAGTTGTTACACCTGGCGAAGCTGTATATGCTCAACCCTCTGGATTTTTATTTCTTCCAGCCTCAACAGAGGCTACTGAAGGACCTTTGGATCCATCACCTGGATACCGGATACCCATCCACGTCCAGCAAACGGAAGGGGGAAACATCTACACCCTAATTTGAAGGTTAATCACTTGATTAACCATACCACGATGGAGTGGCATTTACCTATTCTTCAAGAATATATGGAGCCAGAGGACATCCAGATTATTAAAAGTATGGCGATAAGTCAGACTTTCAAACCAAATAAGCTATTATGGCATTATACAAAATCAGGAAAGTACACGGTTAAGTCAGGCTGTCAGATTGCACAAGAAATGATGGAAACTACGGAAGTGGGTCCTAATTATAATGCTCTAAAAGCTAAAGCCTGGAAAGTTAAAGCTCCACCAAAAATTCAACACTTCCTTTGGCAAATAGCTTCTGGCTCCCTAGCGGTAACCTCAAGTCTAAATCATCGTGGAGTTCATTGTGATAACATCTGTAAGCGGTGTGGAGAGATAGATGAATCTATTAATCATGCACTGTTCGAGTGCCCATACTCCTTACATGTTTGGGATTTGTCTCCAATTCCGGTAACAACGGATATTTTTCCCTCAGGGTCGGTCCTTACCAATTTAGATTACCTGTTCTGGAGACTACCACCAATGGTTGATGAGCAGAATGATCACACTATATTCCCATGGATTCTATGGTTCATTTCGAAATCAAGGAATAATAAAGTGTTCAATGGCATACAGGAGGAACCAATTGATATTATAAATCATGCTAAAAGTGAACATTTGTTGTGGAAGGAAGCACAATTGATTATGGACCAGGAAAACGAGGCCCCCAACCCCCATCAAAGATGTCCGCGAACCTTACGTTGTCAATTTGATGGATCTTGGAAGTCTACGGATCCTACGACTGGGCTAGGATGGATATGCGTGCAGGGAGAAGCTCCTCCGATATTGCTTGGGGCAATGTGTCAAAGGAGGAGTATCTCCCCTCTTCATTCAGAGATGGAAGCCTTAATTTGGGCGATGAAATGTATCATTTCGAGAAGAATTGACTATCAGGCGTTTCAAACCGATTGCGTGGAATTGGTTTCAATGGTAACGCCCCCTGAAGAGTGGCCAGCGTTTTCTACCCTTCTGGACGAGTTTGGACTGCTCCGTGACTACTTCCCAACCTTCTCGCTTTCTCCAATCCCTCGCTCTGTTAATCTAAAGGCCGACAGTTTAGCTCGCTCTTCTAGAATT